ACGATCTTCAGGCGACTTGAAGGCCTATATATATATATATATATATATATATATTCTATTTCCTTGTAATAAAACAATATATATGTATGGAGAAGGAATATATAGAGAGACATACTGGCAAAAATACACAATGCACAAAAATGGAAGGTCTGAAGAGATACACGAGGACATAAAAAGATAAGAATAAAGACTTCATCCATTCCTGTTTCTCTGACCAATCTTAATTACCCCTTAATCAAAGGAACATTCTTCCACCTGTCCAAGATGGGTTTGGATTACTACTACACACAAAAGACAATGGTTTTAAAAAACTCGACACCAGAAAAAATTAATTCCCTTAAATAATGTGGAAATAAAAATTCTTCGTCTGATGAAGGTCACAAAACCCGAAACTCGTGTAGCAAAAAATATATAGAAAATAAATTATAATATATAAAAAAAAAATTCAAATAATAACGAAAAATCATTGCGGCTTCTTCTCTCTATAATAGCTATATATTCCGGAATTTACAGCAAAATTGTTCAAATTGTGTATAGTTCTTTGTGATTGTGAATCGCCAGGCCACAATAAACATCAGTTATGCGTGGGATTGCCTAAATAATATGTTTTCAATAGCTAAACAAAAAGTCACTTTAGATGGTTGATTTTGACCGAATTAAGCGGATTGCTGTCCCAAATAAATGAAAGAAATGCTTACAAAGATACTGTATTTGTTTTGTTTTTTTTAAAGATTTACTTAAAATAAATGGCTACTCTGATATCTCAGTATTTGAAGTAACTGAATTCTACCGTAGGCTGATAGAAAAGAATTGAATGATTTTTAAAATAATTATGTACTTGATATAGTCAAATAGAAAACAGAGAAAATTATATTACAAGTGTTGATGTTAAAGCTTAAAGGTCTGTTTCCTGTATTTTCTTTTTCCTTTTTGTATCACTGAAAAAAAAAGAAACCTTTCCTTCGTCTGAAGAATGACGTAGAATGAATCGGTTGAAACGTTATAAGAATTAACAAATAAGAACGAGTTCAAGTGCGCGAAAAAACTTTTTCTGTGATGGGTTTTCCTTGTTTCAAGAAAGAGGTACTGCAAAGAATTTATTTTTATTTTAAAGGATTCATGTGGAAAATAATAACAAATACGAATTTACTGAAACACATTATCATCATGAATATTAGCAATAGCAAAATTATTTAAATATAAGTAATTTAAATGTTACAGCACGTATTCTTAAATAATCTTTAATGAAGAGATCTTCTTTATGTCTTGTGTCTCCTCGGAATGTAGGCAATCATGGCTCTCCACAATTTCCTGTCTTTTGTAGCTCTTCTGTTTTTTCGTTATTTTTCCTAAACCCTGTTCCTCCATCTATTTACTCAAGATCATTAACATGTTATGCTCTGTTTTCCTTTGTCTCTCTTGCCTTCAGTCTGACCTGTGAGTATCAGATTTTCCAAGCCCTCTTTCTCTATTATATGCCCCAGAAATTTCAGCTGTCTTTTTCTGATGTTAATTATAAGTTTTCTTTGAGACCTGGCCACTTTTCCTCGAATACCTGGATATTTGGGGTTAAATTTCACGATCTTAAACCTGCCTGTGCAACTGACGAAATTAGCAAATGAGCGGCAAATGGCTGATAAAATTTGTTCATATGAACAACCTTAGCCTCGTTTTGGTTTGCTTTGTTTTATGGTATATCAACCTCAAAGGGTTATCTAATGTCTTCGTTTGGTTTGCTTTGTTTTGTTTTAGTCATGAAGTTATTTAATGCCGACAAGATTTTTATTGCTGGTAATATTTTTTTCCAGAAAAGTACTGCTGGTAATTTTTTTTTTTTTTCACAAATGTATTGTTGGAAATTTTTTTTCGAAAATCTATTGCTAGTAATAATTTGTTTGTAATAATTTTTTCTTCAAATATTCATTGCTGGTAATAATTCTTCCCTCAAAAATACATTGCTGACAAGGATCCGTCCTTTATAAAGCATTTCTGGCAACAATTTTCCCTCAAAACTGTATTGCCGGTAACAATTCTTCCCTCAAAAATGTATTGCTGGTAATAATATTTCCTTCAAAAATGTATTTCTGGTAATAATTTCCCCTTCAAAACTGTATTACTGGTAATAATTTTCCTTCAAGTATGTATTGCTGGTAACATTTTTTTCTTCAAAAATGTATTTCTCGTAATAATTTTTCCTTTGAAACTGTATTACTGGTAATAATTTTTCCTTCAAAACAGTATTGCTGGTAATAATTTTTCCTTCAAAACTATTACTAGTCTTAAAATCAATTTTTACACCTTCACAGAGCTTTGACCCCAGTTTGGGTGTCAACTATTTGCCCATAGCTGGGACCCTAAAAGGTGCTTCCACTCCCATTCAGGGTGGACCTGGGAACACCAGCAATTAAGATTTGGTTCCACGCTCCTCAAACCCCCTGGTCAGAGATCTTGCTGTCGGGTGTAGTTTATCGTCTTACCCAGAACGCGGAGGTAGTTTATCGTCTTACCCAGAACGCGGAGGTAGTCTATCTTCGTACCCAGAATCGCGGAGGTAGTTTATCGTCGTGCCAAGGACGAAACCTTAGTCTAGTTCTATTTTAGACTGCGCTGTTTTGGTTCGCGGCCAGAAAATAGATGATATTCAGCGCAATCATAATGGTAACAATATTCACTTCTTTCAGATCTTCATTGTCATTTAGATCTATGTTTGAACAAACGCAAAAACGTTTCAAAATTATTCTCAGAAACGTATGAACAATGGCTACAGAGCAGATCTATAGCGAATACTGTGCTTGAACCTAAATTAATATTATATGAAATTAAGTTATCTTCTCCTGTCAGTGCATTAGTACAAAAATGGTGTTAGGCGGTGGCGCATTGGATCGCTAAATTGGTCCGACGGGTTCAACGGGTGAACAATTTACCGCTTGATTCGATGCGATTTTCAAGCTGAAGTAATTTGATAGCATCGCTTTTCAGAGGTGACATCTGCAAAATATGACATTACATATTTTCTGCCTTTACAATACTTCAGTACAGTCTTTCATTCTTCTTTGTCTTGTTAATATTTTCAAATTCACATTAAGTTGAATAATTCTTCTTAAAGCTTAATTAATTTCGCCGTTACTATTCTTAATAAAGACAAGACATAAGTGATCAAATAGATTCATTTAATCAAATTATTGTCTAATTAAACGAATTCTTCAAGGAGCGACATTATAATCAAACGATGAAAGAAAAACGCTTATATATTTCAAAGCCTGTCTACAATGCATATATATAAAACTTAACATACATACATACATATCTCCATATGAGGTGATTTTGGATTTTATTGTTTATTAATTATTTGCTCTGTAATAATAAATACATTGAGCTCTTTTTGCGGATAATATTTTTAATATTTTATATTACTACGATCCACTTGGATTATATACCAACGGATTTGTTACCTTTACCATATATATATATATATATATATATATATATATATGAATGTATATATGATACGCACGCACGCGCGAGTCCGTGCCTGTGTGTAATACAGCGTGCACAGGTACTACGCAGATTATGTACAAAATTCTGGAGAAAAATACTTTGATTCAATGCATAGCGCACATATGCTATATTGACCACTGGTCATAGGCAGAAGTACCGGGGACCGAGACAGATACTACAGACTGATGAGAGACAAATGTCCGAGAAGCAAAGCTATGATTTAAACTCACAGATACTATACTGATCATAGACTGAAATTCCGATATAAACATAAATAATACCAACATTTTTTACGGATAGTGTGCGAATATTTAACATTGAGATTAAAGTAATTTTCCTGATCTTTTTAATAGTGAAACGACTCGAGCATATTCGTATGCTTATAAATTTTGTGATTCTTTAGAAATAAATTGTAGAAATGTGTGTCTTTATGAATTTTAGATACAAATATTTGGATATGCTTTTTTGTTCTATCCCACAATTAAGTTCGACTTATCTCTCTTTACCGAATCTGTAGTCAACGTCACAGAGATCGGAAGGTCGAATTCAAATTCAAATTCTGTCCTAGTTTGTTGCGTTCAATTTCACACTTATACCTGCACAACTACAACTACTCTATAGCTACAAAAAAAATTAATTGGTTAATTGATTGGTTGGTTCGTTGGTTTGTAAGTTGTTTGGTTCGTTGGTTGGTTGGTTAGTTGGTTGGTTCGTTGGTTACTTGGTTGTTTAGTTGATTTGTTAGTTGGTTAGTTGGTTGGTGCGTTGGTTGGTTGGTTTGTTGGTTCGTTGGTTGGTTAGTTGGTTATTTGATTCGTTGGTTGGTTCGTTGGTTCGTTGACTAGATGGTTGGTTAGTTGGTTCGTTGGTTAGTTAGTTGGTTGGTTGGTTACTTTGTTACTTGGTTGTTTAGTTGGTTGGTTGGTTTGTTAGTTGGTTAGTTGGTTGGTTCGTTCGTTGGTTCGTTGGTTCGTTGGTTGGTTGGTTGGTTAGTTGGTAGGTTGGTTGGTTTGTTGGTTCGTTCGTTCGTTATTTGGTTGGTTCGTTCGTTCGTTGGTTCGTTCGTTGGTTCGTTCGTTCGTTGGTTCGTTCGTTCGTTAGTTGGTTCGTTGACTAGTTGGTTGGCTAGTTGGTTCGTTCGTTGGCTAGTTGGTTCGTTCGTTGGCTAGTTGGTTGGTAGGTTGGTTGGTGAGTTCGTTGCTTGGTTAGTTGGTTTGTTGGTTGGTTAGTTGATTCCTTGGTTGGATGGTTAGTTGGTTATTTAATACTGTAATCTGAATATTTTGCACTCAATTTTATTTCATTTATTTTGGTGATAACAGTCTTTTAGTTATACAAGTTTTACTAATTAACCCATAGCTGGAGGGAGAAGAGATAGATTCATAACTTTCCCAAAGATATTTGCACGTAAGGGAATATAACAAACCCAACGGAATTTGGAACTCGGTTCTTGAATTAACAATTCCGAGCCATTATCCATTACACCACCCACACATCCACGCTTGTAGCACCTCATATTCCCAAGTGACCTCCCATCTAAGTACTGACACGGCTCGACGTTGCTTGACTTCGGTTATCGTACGGGAACCGATGTTCTAACGGTTCTTGAGATATCTAAGAAAAGAAATACTCTGAATTCATCGAATGGGAAATCCACGATATTTTCCCAAGAAACCATTTAAATAATAAATAAAAAGAAATCTGTAGAGAGACGTGATCGTCTTCCGCCGTGTCGACATGGCATTAAAAAATCACTTTACCATTTTGCGGACATGACAGTTTCCTGGAGGTTGATTTCCGGTTCAAATGTTCGTTCATTAAATTCGTTTTCACGGCTTATCAACTTTTTACATCCAAATATTCGAAAGTGCGTAATGACTTGAACCCCTGCCGAATTACAAACAGATAGGCTCTTGAGGTTTGTTTGTTCAAATGTTCTTCTTCTTTTATGTGCCATGTCCCTTCAGAACGTAGGCGGTCATGGTACTCCACATCTTCCTGTCCCGTGTAGCTCCTAATAAGTTTTGTCTTTTTGTTATTTCTCCCAGACCCTGTTCTAATATCCATTTGCTCCAGATTATCAAGTATTACTTGCTGCTTTCCTCTCTCCCTCTATCTCTCCTGTGAGTATCAGATTTTCCAAGCCCTCATTCCTCGTTCCGTGCCCCATATTTATTCAGTTGCCTCTTCCTGATGTTAAGTATAAGTTTCATATTTGTTTCCATTTTCTCCAAAACCTCGTCGTTGCTCACATGTTTGCCGTTTTTCAAATGTTTACAAGGATCAAATAAATGTATTTAAACTTTTACTAAGTGGGTGCGGTTGGCTTAAATATTGGAATTGGTAAACAGAATTCAAACCCAGCGTGAAACATTAATGCCCCTGGAAAACGTGTGAATTCATCACTACCCCGCGCTCGCCTTGAGTGAACACAGTGGCGGTTTCACGTCCTTTAGGCGCAGCAATCTAGTCTCATCAATATTGTCATGCTACTGAACACAGCAAATGTGTCATTTCCGGCGTGAAGGATCCGATGCTGCACAATGTTTCTGTAGGAATAAAAATAAAATATATTTTATTTTACCTTATTTCTAATAATGCCTTGATTTCTGTACAAAAAAAAAATCAGAAAATTTCAAATAAGGAATACATTTCTTTAAAGAAAAGACTATTCCATTCTTTCTCGTGACACCAAAATACCTCCGTTATAAACAGTTGAATATTTCTTCACTTTCATCTTCACTCTCCAATAAATTTTGTTGATTTATTTGTTTCCCACAAGTTCGTACATTTTGCTATTTTTTAAAGTTTTGTCGCTCAGTATGAACAATTTGCATTACTACGGCTTTCCAAGTCGGCAAGGTAGAATAAAGTGTAATTTCTAATTTTACAAATTACACCACAGTGTCACACATTTGTAAAAATTAAATAGTCTCCAAATGTTTGAGAAAAATTTTCTGTAATAAAAAAAATAATGTCTTGTTTAAAAAAGAATTAATAATCTCGCTATCTCTCTTCCTCTTTCTCTTTCTCTATCTCTCTCTCTTTCTCTCTCTCTCTCTCTCTCTCCATATATATATATATATATATATATATATATATATGTTTGATTGATGGAATAAATTGCAAACATTATGTCTGCTATTTTTAGTATAATCCTTTCATATTCATGAATATTTTTCCGTATATTACAATTGAATGGGGCAATACGAAAGGATTGTGATAAAAAAACTGACATAATGTTTGTAATTTATTCAATCAGACATGACTAAAAGAGAATTTGCTGCCTAAATACACAAATATATATATATGTGTGTGTGTGTGTGTGTGTGTGTGTGTATATATATATATATATATATATATATATATATAGCGTATACATAGATAGATAGATAGATAGATAGATAGATAAGTGGACATTGAAGTCTACACCCAGCAGTGACTGTCAGTTTCATGCTTATACGCAATCGTCAGGTCATGACTGTTGCCTCTGGGTGTTTACCTCAATGTCCACTTTTATATTTACATACGCTCTATCCTTGATATTGAGCACTTTTACCCATAAATTTAGCATAACTTAAACAATATTTTATCATATATATATATATATATATATATATATATATAGCCAAATCATTTGTAATTTCTATGCTAATAGCTTCTTCTCTCACACTCCTCGCTTGTGGAACTCTCTTCCAGCTTCTTTCTTTTTTTGCCAAATTTAATCTTCAAAAATTTAAATACAATGTCAATCAAAATCGTCTATCTTTTAATTTCTGTTTTTTTTTTTGTTGTTTTTTTTATACATTTTGTGACGTATGGTGGCCGTTAAATAACTGTATAATTCAAGAGTTCAATGTCAAGATAAAATTTTAATTACAACCGCAAATAAATACTTAACAAGAAAAAAGAAGTAAAAGTCAACCAAAGATGATTAACTATTTCAGTGAATACTTTGTTAGTAGCGCGACTCGGTTTAACGTCCGGTATATCCTAAATCAAATCCCAAATCATCGACGCACAATAATTCACACTAATTCGACTGAATAGTTCCACTGAATAGTCACTCAATAATCATTTCAGTCAGTTTGCCTGACACAGCTATTTATACACCTGGCGGGAAACATATTTATAAGTCCAGAGTTTCACGCTCGAATCTCGGTGTCGGTAGTTACTCATTTTCTTCCTATATGATAGTTCTCTCTCTTTAATATTTTTACTTCAGATTCTTTTACACTCAGTAAACTCCGTTGCGTCTTAATGGCTTTATCGTCTTGCTAGGGGGGAAATTTGACAAAGAATATCTAAAATAAAATATTCTAATGTTTATTTATCCATATTTATAAATGGATTTTTTTTTAATATCCAAGTTTTATAATTAATTCCGATATATTTCGTTCTGGGATAACTAAGGGACTAGTGTATCAAACAGATACATTTCACTAATAGTCTTTTACTGGTAATCCAATTATTACAATATAAGACGTACGATTCTTTTTAAGTGCGCCTTGTATTGCAGAAAATATGGTATACACCTATTTACCTAAGTTTTATCGGTCTTTCTCAATTTCTTTCATTCGCTCTTTCTTTCTCCCTTTTGCTCTCTCTCTCTCTCTCTTTCTCTCTCTCTCTCTCTCTCTCTTTCTCTTTCTGGCTTTCTTTCACTGTCTTCCTCTCCCTTGTTTTTATCTTTTCTGTCTCTTTTACTCACATTCCCTTTTCTTCCTTTTCACTCACACCTCTTCCTTTTCCGTTTCACTCACCCCCTCTTTCTCTTTTTTTCACTCTGCCCCACCTCACTTTTGTCGTTGACTTTTGAGCGTTTGGTGTAAATCCTGTACGTTAATAAAATATAACTTCATTCGTTTTAAAGATCTTGTCATCTCGGGATTACAGAGAAACGAACTCGCCTCCCCTCCATCTTCACCTGTTGTCAACCCTGGCTTTTATAAAATGCATAACTTCCCGCGCGCATTCCTCACTCCTTTTTTAATATTTTATTTTATTACGCATGCGCCTTGCATTCGCCTGTTCATTATCACTTCAGCACATCGCTCGCTCAATATTGCCCTTCTTCAATTCAAATACATTAATGATTTTTACCTTCACATTCACTTAAGGCGAACTTACTACTACCTTGAGTATGACATTATTATTATTATTATTATTATTATTATTATTATTATTATTATTTAAGTAATGACAGTAAAATCCATTAAAAAATCTTCCTAACATTAATTATTGTTTGTTTTTACGTGAAAAAAGGGAGGAGCAGAGCCTGTTGTAATTGTAGAAATCTGTATGCGGTTAGACTTGCTTTCTTCAGTTATCTTTCAAAGCCTCACAGGACATTTCATTTCCTGTTATTAATAGCTCTAAATTTATCATTCATTTTTATTTAATTTACGCGAGCAGGAAAAATAGACTAACTGTAAATGTAGTAGTAATATTGAGCTATATTGCTTATTATTATTATTATTATTATTATTATTATTTTTATTATTATTTGTTGTTGTTGTTGTTATATACACATTTCCTTCCGGGTCCCAACCAAAGGCCTAATGTCAGAAATGGCTTCATGACATTTTCCACTGAGCATTTTTGTAAAAGAACAAACAAAAATACTAAGATCCCACGCATTTTACATAGAAAAAAGCTTCATAACGTGTACGCTGTACTTGCAAGTACATTTTTTTTTTTTTGTATTTCTTTAGGGTATGGGCTACCATGAATCCCTTCAATGAATCGATCCGAATTTTTCCAATCAAACCGAGGACTTTAAATACAACTGGAATTATTGATGTCCTCGTGTGGCACTATTTTAAGATTTCCACTTCAAGATCCTTGTATTGTGATAGTTTTTTAAAAATCTCCAAAGATACATTACATTAAAATCTGCAGGGACTGCCATGTCAATAAGAAAGCAGATTCTGTTTTTGTGGTCTTTCATCATGATTTCTGGGTCAGAATGGCGTTCATACCAATTTCTTGCAGTTTCCTTCCCGTAAAAGTTGCATATTTTCTAATGCAGATAGTGGCCCGCTCTATATTATTATTATTATTATTACTTTTGATTTCCTTTGATTTCTGGCGTTTACACATTTCTTTCCGGGTCCCGCTCAGGGACCTAAGGTTAGAAATAGCATCATGACACTTTCCAGTGACAGAAAAAAAAATGACATAGACAAAGCCCTTCGTAAAGGTGGGCTGTACTTGTCAGAACAATTTTTTGTATCTCTTTGAGGCATGGACTTCCAGGAATCCCTTCAATTAGTCTACTGGGATCTTTTGCATCCAATCCTAGGGCTCCAACTACAACGGAGATTGTTGATGTTCCCATGTGCCACATTTTTGAGATTTCTATTTCAAGGTCCTTGTATTTTGACAGCTTTTTGAATATCTTCAAATATATATTGCAGTCATCAGGGACTGCCATATCAATAAGGAGGCACTTTTTTATTTATGGTCTCTAATAACAATGTCTTCACAGATAGATTTGATTGTTCTGTCAGTGTGTATTGTGTAGTCCCATAAAATTGTAACAGGTCCTATCTCCGTAACCGGGTCTGGGTGATGTTCATACCAGTTTCTTTCAGTTTCCTTCCCGTAGAAGTTGCAGATTTTCCAGTGCAGATATTGGCCCACTCTGTCATGCCGGGTTTTATATTCAGTGGGTGCCAATATCGTGCAACCTGATACAAGATGATCAATCGTTTCTGAATATTTATCACAGAATCTGCATTTTGGGCTAGCACTATATTTTAGCATATTTGCTTGATTAACAAGCATTGGTCCTGTGCAGCAAGGATAAAACCTTCTGTTTCACCTTTCAACCCAACACTACGTAGCCACTGATGGGTACGGGTTTTGTCTACATCAGCTTGTTTTGTATGGGCAGAGTATTGGCCATGAAGCGGTTTATCTTGCCATCGCTTCTGTATCTGGTCGGTTGCATTTGTCTTTGCTCTCTTATTTAAGTATTATTATTATTATTATTATTATTATTATTATTTTGTGTATGTTATGTGATAACATCAGTGATAAAAAAAATGAAATTGTACACATGAGCATGATTTTTTGCACTTGATATATTTAAGGGTTTCTAGGAATTTAATTCATATAAGAATTTGCTCATTTTCCCAAAACCCCAACAAAAAAATACACAGACAATATTCTACTGATTTTTATCTCGAGGTTCTTGTTGTTGTTGTTGTTGTTGTTGTTGTTATTCCTACTTTTCCGGATTTGCTGTTTGATAAAATCCTTTACGGAGCCTTTTAACTGAGATTGGAAATAAATTCACATTTTTCTTTGAAGTTTATTGAGCATTACGAGAGAGTTCTTTTTAAAGAACACAATTTTTGAATCTCTCATAGTGAGGATTTTCCTACGATTTTTAAGTGTATATATATATATATATATATATGTGTGTGTGTGTGTGTGTGTGTGTGTGTGTGTGTGTGTGTGTGTGTGCACGTTTCAATGAATGTTAGACAAGTTGCTTTGATTTGGCTTTTTATACAATTTCTCATATGATCTTATAATTTTTTCGGCAGATAAATTATATAAAAAATCGTTCAATTGTTGTTTTTTTCCAAGTGCTTTCGGCTATACATTTACCCATTTTCAAGGTTGAAATATATTAACTGTTAACAAGAAAAAGATTGTTGTATGTATATATTTATATAATGTTTAATTTTCAAAATATGTTCAAGATACTGTGTACATGTTTATAATTGATATTACTGAGTATTGTTTTTTTATAAAGGTAGGTAGGTCTCCATGAGTATTTAAATGAGACCTAATTGAGCTATGATCAGAAAGACATAGTGTGAGTCTTCGTGTCAAATATGTTGTAGTATGGCCTGTATAATTGTTTACGAAGACATACACTAATTATATATAATAATTATAATTATATAAATACATATATACAACAATCTATTTCTTGTTAACAGTTAATATATTTCAACCTTGAAAATGGGTAAATGAATAGCCGAAAGCGCTCGGAAAGAAAGAATAATTGGACAGTTTTTACATAATTTATCCCCCGAAAAGAAAAAATTATAAAATCACATGAGAAAATGTATAAAAAAAAAAACTAAATCAAAGCACCAAATTTAATGAAACGTGCATGAAAAAAGGATTGCTGCCTAAACACACACACACACACACACATATATATATATATATATATATATATATATATATATATATATATATGAGGTTAGACAAAATAATGTGAACACCTGGCTTAAACATTTATTTATTGACGAATCCATTTGCTTTGAATTGTTTCGAGGGAATTTTATCCCATTCTTCAATTAGTTATCATTGAGAATGTTGAGGTATTTACCTGCAGTAATTCTATCCTTAAGAATGATGATAAGACCAGAAGAATACCAAGGAATTTGCCGCCCAAATCATTACTCAGCCACCGCCATTTTTTGACTGTCGGGACAATCCGGCTCGTAGACTTCAGGTGGTGTTCTACAGACATAAACACGACCGTTTGTAGGAAATAACATGAAAGAAAACTTTTTGCATTCCTCGAGTGTCCAATTCTTGTGATCATTACATCAGTTTTTCGCAACTTTGGATTCGACTTTGTAATCAGAGGTTTAGAAATCGTAGCCATTCCCTGGATACCAGCTCTGTGCAGCTCCCGACGTACTATGCGTGTAGAAACTGTATTGGTTACGTGAGTAATGAGTTCTGATGTCACTTTTGCTGCAATATTTTTATAATTTCTTTTTTTGCTATAATTCGTTTTAAAGCTCGACGGTCCTTTTCGGTAAACTTTGGTTACCTTCTACTATTACTCTTTTCTAATAATGTATTTGCCTTGTTTTGTGTCAGCTGTCATGACAGTGGACACTACAGATCGTGACACATTCAATAATTCAGTCGTTTTGATCACAGATGCTCCTGCTAATCGAAATATTTGTCCTATTTAAAAATCCGACAGGTCGAGCATTTCAGCATATAACTCTTTTACCTGAAGGTAAATAATGACTTAATTAAGTGGAAAAGGAAAAAGCTAGGTAAAGAATTAGAGTGATTTTGTGCTGGTTTGATGTTTACAAATAACCGAAAAAACCGGAATTGAAAAATTGCAAGCTTTTCACATTATTTTATCTATCTAATATATATATATATATATATATATATATATATATATATATATATATATATATACGCTAGACGACGTTGCAGAACTATAGCTAAGGCCTGTCTATTGTATAAGTAGCTAATAGTTATTGTAAATTGGTAGAAGTGATTAGTAATACATATGTCAAATCCGAAATTGTCCACATATGTTTATATATGTAAGGGTCCCGACGGACAAGCAAGTGTGCGTGTGTCTCATCTGATGTACGGACATGCATCTATGTTTGCGTTAGCACGATGACATCACGACGACGATTCCCCCCCCACTCCCATAATAACACCAAAACACGCAATCTACATAAACCCATATTTTTAAAAAGTTAATCAGTTTGTCTGACAAACGCAAAAGCGTGAAACCCAGGGTCACAAACTCAAATCTATCCAACCAAATATGTTAGCTCTATCTCTGATATTGAGCGCTTTCTAATAAGTACCATGCATATAATATATATATATATATATATATATATATTTATTTATATTTATATAAACACACACACAGACACACAGACACACACACACACACACACACACACACACACACACACATATATATATATATATATATATATATATATATATATATATATATATTAACAATATTACTCGCTTGAGAAACCTCGGATGACTCAAGTT